TAATCACTCCCCTCCTTGCTATAAAACATTTACCTTTACATTTCCAACTCTCACAATCAGTCCTGATAACAATTATTCACTATTGTATAACAAGAGACCTATCCACATTTCCTTTCCATCAGCCTGCCTAGACAGATTGGATACTACTCAGTAGAGATTCTACCTTCCTCCATGTCCTCTGGATCTAGGTTCCCTCTTGAAAGCTTGTAAGCCAGTCACTTCTTGCCTTTGTAGCCCCCTCACTTTGGGTAGCCAATGTCCAAGTTGCCCATCCCTGTCTATTCTGTGTATGGAGTGGGTGGGAATGATCCTTGCTGTAAAGACTTGTTCTCTCTTTTGAGCTTCTTGGATGTCTTTTGAATCTTGGGTTCTCTTGCCTACTATTGTAAATTAGACACTTGAAGGTGGGAGAAAGGAATAGCCAGAAACATGACAATAGAAAGCTTGTAAGTCCGTCTTCAGCCTAAAACTGATAGGAATACCTTAAAGGGGGCTAGAAGTTGCCCAGTGAAAGAGGCTTCCTGTGGAGCCTTTGAATTGCATAAGACCATAAGTGGAATCCAGAACCCCATTGAAAATCATCTGAGGTGGGAAATTTCCACTGGAAAGGACAAGTAATACCAGCCTGGAGCAGCTAGAAGAACAGAAGATACTTCGTGAAAGAAAGACCGGCAGAAAAATTCAGAAACAATAACAGCAGTCTTGATTGATTACTACAAGAACAAGTAAGCTGTTCTCCTGGGAGCCATCAAGGCAAGTGCAAATGCCCTTCCAAGACTGAGACTCAAGGAGAAACATGAGCAGGCTGGTGGTCTGGCTGCTGACTACATTGGTCACCGAAAAGGGAAGAGGGGGAAAAACCAGCAATGAAGTTGGTTGCTAAGTCTGACCACGTTCAATAGACCCCTGTGAACCTGGGTGGAGACCTGGGTGGCCAGCAGTACGGAAAGACCCCGGGGACTCCTGGGGCCAGAGGCAGTGACATGACCACAGATGACTAGAGAGTAACCCGCTACAATTTGATGAACTTTACCTATACTTATGGATGTAATAGCTCAAAAAAAGGAACAAATCTTTACAGCGAGAATCACTCCCACCCCCTTGGTACATAGGGTTGACAGGGATGGGCAAGTTAGACATTGGCTACCCAAAATGGGAGGGACTGTAAAGGCAAGAAATGATTGGTTTACAAGCTTTCAGGAAGGATCCTAGTTCCAGATGGGGCAGGGGTAGGTAGAATCTCCACTGAATGATTTCCAGTCTGTTGGGACCAGGCTGGTGAAAGGAAATGGGGATAAGAATCTTGTGGTACAATAGTGAATAATTGCCATCAGGACTGAGTGTGAGGGTCAGAAATGTAGAGGTAGACGTGTTTTAACAAAAGGAGGGGAGGGATTGATTTTGCAGTCCAGGAGCGGAGGTCACTGGGATCATGACATGAGAAGAGCGGAGTACGGGAGGGACCTTACCCAGCGAGGCAGTGATGCCAGGGATGGAGACAGAGACAATGACGTGGACAGATGGAGTGGCTGGGGACACTGCACTCAGTTAGGGAAAGGGTTTGTGTGTTGATGGCCGGGGGGTGCGCCTGTGTTGTGTACCCTTCAGTTATTTCATGATGCATGGAGGGGATTGTAATCATTGCAATGAAATGAAGTACAAGAGGATGAATGTAAAATTGATGTTCTTTCATGTAAACCCACATAATTCACAATAAAAACTTTTTAAAAAAAATCTAATGGTAGCTTCAAATATATTGTACTTTTGTATTTTGAGCAAAGGAACAATATTTTAAAAATAAATACTTACAAATTATTTTTTCATTTGTTTTATAGATTATATAGATCAATTGGAGAATATGATGTCCTCCGTGGTATTTTTAGCAGTGAACTAGGAACAAAGAAAGATACTCAGAATGCATTATTAGCAGAAGCTCGAAGTGATTATTCTGACGCTGCTAAGCAATATAATAAGGTAAAGTTTATCTCTAGCAAATTTATCAGTCACTTAAACACTTTTATTCTCTGGGTAAAAAAACTGTTTGCTTTAGAAATTAGAGCTTTATAGTACTTCAGTTTTATATTCAGTTCTTAGATTTTACCAACAGGTTAATAAAAGAGACTGGTTTAATAATAACCAAATATATAATTATTATTATATCTTTTATCCTTCGTAAGAAAACATTGGATTAAAGAGAGAATTTCTTACATTTTCAAGTACTGTTAAATTCTTACGATGCTATTTCTTTTTGAGTAGCTTGTTTTCAGTCAGTAAGTAAAAGGTCTGTAGAGAAGTAAAGAACTAGGCTGACTGCAAGTTAAGTGTTTAAATTTCTGTGTCTTGTGGTGCTGGGCCAGATACTGCCCAGTAAATCCAAGTTAGTGTTTGGAGACTGGAGTGAATATCCAGATTTTACACCCTCTCAATTTCTGTAAATATCCTATGTAATAATTGTCATGCCAAAAACTTGCTAAATAGTCGATAATAACACACATTTTTTACTTTAGTACAATTATTGTTACTTAATGTCTCAATCTGATTGGTTGACTTTAGTGGTAAGTTTCTCACAGGTATCGAGTCCTTCTGGTTACTGCTCTTACATTCAGTTGTTAACTAAAAGTTTCCTTTCTTCTCTTCTATGTTGCTCTAAATATTTTCTTTTTTTCTTTCACCTTGTTTACAAATCTGAAAATAATTGTCCTTAATTTGAATATTATGTACCTCCTATTACCCATTTTTTCATTTGTGTTCTCTCCATCTTCTCAAAACAATCTCAACTTTTCACTGCCAGGCCCTCAATAAACAGGACTGGTTGGATGGTGAGCCCACAGAAGCAGAAAAGGATTTTTGGGAGCTAGCTTCCCTGGACTGTTATAACCACCTCACTGCATGGAAATCATTGGCATACTGCTCTACTGCCAATGTGGACAGCAAACAGCCTCCAGATCTAAATAAAATGTGGAATGAGCCATTTTACCAGGTTGGTAGGATTATTTTGAGGTCACTGAAATAAATATTCTCCTTGTTGTTGTTGTTTTAAGTGCCATTGAGTCAGTTCTGACTCATAGAGACCCTATATAGGGTTTCCGAGGAGCAGCTGATGGGTTTGAACTGTGAACCTTGTGAATCGCAGTCCAAGTGCTGATCCTGATGCACCATGCCAGCTGTCCAGATATTCTTAGTGGCCAAGAATTTTCTAATGAATGCAGTTGTTAAAAACTTTTCAAAAACAGGGCAGTAGTAGTGAACCATCAAGACATGTATAGGCTGACTCCCTCATAAAACTCCATGAAATGTAAGTCAACAGTGACTCATATAAATCCCATAGGACAAAGTAGAACTGTCCCATGGGACAGACATAGGGTTTCCAAGGCGGTGATTGTTTATGGAAGTGACTGCTGTATTTGTCTGCTGCTGAATGGCTTGTGGGTTTAAACTGCCAATGTTTTGGTTAACAGCCAAGTGCTTTAACGACTGCACAAAACTCCACAGTATTTTTAAATCTATAATGTGGCACTATGGGATAAAGCACTGGACTGCAAGATTGGTTTGAACCACCAAGTCGGCAGTTCTAGCTCAGCAGCCGTTCCTTGGATACCCTGTACAGGGTCATGATGAGTCAGAACCGAATTGACGCCACTTAACAACAATAATAATTTTTAGCTAATCCTTTCTAAATAAATGGGATGCATTTAAAAATAACTGTCTCTGGGATGACGACATGAAAAAAGTGTCTTTGTCTCTTATATGTTACAAAACAGTCACACTGGTAACTATGGTACACCCTGACCCCCACAGTGAGATAATGGTAGGTCCCTACACATCTGTGATTTTTACTGTACATGTAAGTTTCTCAGTTTTTGTGTAACATCCAGGTGTTGTTTAAACTCAAAGTTAATCTGCTTTTTATACAACATGCTCCTGTATATTTTGTATTCCCTTTATATTGTGAGAATTTTTAACAAAGTGACTTAAAACGTTGTAGCTTTGCTAATTCATTGTTTGTGACTTGAAACAATAAGCATCGCTTTGGCTCAATATCAAAGAATATTGTCTTCATAAACCTATAACACATTATCATATGGGCTTTCTGAAGTTACAAGTAGATGTTAATGTTCTGTAGGAGACGTACTTGCCTTACATGATCCGCAGCAAGCTTAAGTTACTGCTTCACGGAGAAAACGACCAGTCCCTGCTGACATTTGTTGACGATGCTGTGAGCAAGGAACTCCAGAAGGTTCTCCTAGAGCTTCACTACAGTCAAGAGTTGAGTCTCCTTTACCTCCTACAAGATGATTTTGACAGAGCCAAATATTATATTGAAAATGGGATTCATGTCTTTATGCAGGTAATATAGGTGTATCCAAAATGTGCCACTTTAAAAAAAATACTTATTAAAAAGTCACTGATTCTTGAAAAAAACTAACAAGCAAAATTTTCATTTTTAATTTCATAGCACTCATTTGCTTATCAATATTTATAATTCCACTTTTATTTCCCTTTCCTTTACTCGTGACCTTAAAGCTTTGTTTTATCTTTTTTGTTTTTAAAAAAGCTCTGCTTTTTTGTTTTTTCTTTATATAATTCTCATACTGTTAAAGAACGAGTGAGATATATATTCACGCACACATACATATATATACATACACACAAGGGGGACTTTAAAAAGTGTGTTAAAAAATTAAATGAAAAGGTAGTGGAACTTATCTGCAAACTTTTTGAAGTCTCTCCTTTGTGTGTGTGTGTGTGTTTGTGCGTGTGTAGTGACTTTGCCATTTGGAGCAGCTGTACAGAATTTGGATACTTTGTGGAGAAGAGCATTGCTTGAATTTCCCTGTTTATCCTGTTTGGTTTTTGCCATCTGTTCTTTTGCTTTTTAGAATCTTCTCCTGATAATTGTTTATTTATCTAAGTCAGTGACATTGATGGGACAATTAGCATCTGCTGTTGGCATATGTTGGCCACAGAGGCATGCGTTTTCATTATCTTTTGATTTTTATTTACTTTTTGATGTTGATTGATACACTCAAGAAGAAGTTTGCCAAAGAAGAAAGCATTCACTTCCATAGTTGGCAGCTTAACTTTATAGGGTATTCTTATTTTTAAAAATTATTGTCAGATAGAGCCTGACTGTATCAATTTGATTGATTTCATTGAACTAAAATGTAATTGGAATCTAAATTGTTTCTTAAAAATTTATCTTTTTTTATTGTTTCTAACGTAATTACTATGTCAGAGACACATCGGGTAACTAAAGTACTGATAGGGTATTGATGTATTTAATGTTTTAGAAAATGATTTTAAAAGTCAAAATAATATGAATTCCTAGATGACACCAAAACCTTGAACAATGGCAACAACAAAAACCAGACAATTTGGACTCCATCTTTTTTTTTTTTTTTCAATTATTCACTATTGTACCACAAGAGTCTTACCCCATCTCCTTTCATCAGTCCA